AGGGGTGACCTTATTAGTGTATATAAATATATAAAGGGGGAGTGTCACGAGGATGGAGCCAGGCTCTTCTAGGTGGAAACAATGAAAGGACAAGGGGTAATGGGTACAAATTGGAGCACAAGAGGTTCCACTTAAACCTGAAGAAACTTCTTCTCAGTGAGGGTGACGGAACACTGGAACAGGCTGCCCAGTGAGGTTGTGGAATCTCCTTCTTTGGAGACATTCAAAACCCGCCTGGACACGTTCCTGTGTAACCTTATCTAGGTGTTCCTGCTCCAGCAGGGGGATTGGACTAGATGATCTTTTGAGGTCCCTTCCAATCTCTAACCTACTGTGATACTGTGACTCTCTCCTACTTTCTGTCCTACAAAAAAGACTGGTCATTGTCAGACTTTCCAGCCCTGCCCCTTATTTCCCGAGGGCCATGCTGCCCTTCTTTCTCTCCAAGCATCAGTCAGCATTCCACTGACTTCAAATTGTCCTTTCCAGTTTCTGCTAGGTCTGCCAACTGCCAGCTCCTCAGATCACATCTCCTGCTTCTGGATTCACAGCCTTGAGGAATGCTGTATTTACCTCAATTTTCAGGGAAACACTGAGACATTTAAGGTGAGGGAGCTCACTGAGAACTGGAAGAGGCATGAGGCTAAATAGCTGCATCCTATTCCATAGTGCTTTGGGATATTTTCCAGGAAGACAAACCCCTGGACCTCATTCCCAAATCAGCACTACCACCCTGGAAACGACAGAGGCCACTGCTGCCTGCTAGACTGCCAGTTCCCCACCTGACAGCAACTTGCCTTCCTTGAAATTGCTCCACAACTCCAAACCTGCTTCCACTTTTGGGAGCTGATGTAACCACTGTTCAGGCTAATGAGACTGTCCCCTTTCAATTTTCTAGATTTACGTAACTCTAGAAATCCATACTTAAGGCTTTATGCTGTTTCACACAGTTCTTGGTCCTAACTCTTACCCTCTCGTAGTCAACTGTCTTAACCACTGAAACCAACAGTGAATGGATTAGTTACAACAGACTGCAAACTTTTAAATACCCACGAATATCTTAACAAAGAGAAACTATGACTAAGTGCCCAGAATACACATTCCAAAAATTATAGGCATATGTAAATATATCTTACAAAACTACTGCTGACCTCAAGTGGTCATACAATATTTCTCAGCTCCTTTGGGTCATCCAGGTGTACCAACAGCCCTGTGCAGGCAAACACCCCCCAAACTTAATTTCATATTTCTTCCTAATTCCCTTATGTATTCCTTAAATATTCTTGATGGAGAAGGAAATCAGTTTCCTACCTGTTTACAAGTGTAGGTTGTAAGTACTTGTCCTGCTGCTGTTTAAAAAGGCTTGGTTTTTGCAAAACAGGTTTTGAAAGCATTAAGTTCATATTTGCTGTCTCATGCAATAAGTCTGAAGCAATTTAATTACATTTAAAAAAGAGATGGCAGGAGCTGAGCTTCACAAGCAGTTCTGAAAAGTTAATCCTTGACTCAGAATCAAGACGAATTTTGTCTTTCACTTGCACCATCACCACTAATAAAGGCTCTATACAGACCTTCTGGTTTCATGCGTTCTGTTGCAACTATATTTCCTTTGAGCCATGATATCCCTATTCTTTACCATTGTCACCAGGTAATTACAGAAAGGAGAGAATCTACTCCCATCTCCTAGAACAGTGCCAGCTCTTCAGGAGAAGCTGAAATAAAAAGCAGCCCTTTCTTATTTAGATAGTGACACCTAGACCAATAGCATGAACAGCTCCCTGGTTATGTTCAATTTGCTGATATAAAAAGAAGAAAAAGCAGGTTTCTTTCAGAGTAAAATAGCTTTTTTAAGTTGTTGTTATCACTCAAGCTCTCTGTAGTACTTCAGGGTGCAGAAATCTAGCTTCCCCGTAAGTCATCCACAGATACAAACCTGAAGTTTTAAAGACCCTGGTATGAGCATTTATGCATATTCCCCTTTTAAAGCCTGTCAAAAGCAGTCCTTCCTTCTCAATTTTCCTTGTTTCCACAATTTTTAAGCTTTTGTCAATAGTGTCACACTGACATTTCCTACAGTTTTTAAATCACATTACTCCATAAAGCCCTTAAAAGCCATCCCAGGGTTACAGCACTGTTAACACCTTTGGGGTCTGAGTAACACACAACTCCACCCAGGTTCAGGCCTTATTCTTGCCTTTTCCAAAGCACTTCTATTGCCAGTTTCAGACTGGTCTCAGGTTCTCACCAATTGTGCCTGATGGGGTTTGAACATTTAAGTTCTTCCCTTGAGGAGAGCTACATGACCTGGCAGCTCCCTCAAAATGAGAATACTGGCAGTTCTAACAGTAGAATCATAGAATAGTTAGGGTTGGAAAGGACCTTAAGATCATCAAGTTCCAACCCCCCTGCCATGGGCAGGGACACTTCACACTAAACCATGTCACCCAAGGCTCTGTCCAACCTGGCCTTTTACACCGCCGGGGATGGCGCATTCACAACCTCCCTGGTCAACCCATTCCAGTGCCTCACCACCCTAACAGGAAAGAATTTCCTCCTTATATCCAATCTAAACTTCCCCTGTTTAAGTTTTAACCTGTTACCCCTTGTCTTATCACTACAGTCCCTAATGAAGAGTCCCTCCCCAGCATTTCTATAGGCCCCCTTCAGATACTGGAAGGCTGCTATGAGGTCTCCACGCAGCCTTCTCTTCTCCAGGCTGAACAGCCCCAACTTTCTCAGCCTATCTTCATATGGGTGGTGCTCCAGTCCCTTGATCATCCTCGTGGCCCTCCTCTGGACTTGTTCCAACAGATCCATGTCCTTTTTATGTTGAGGACACCAGAACTGCACACAATACTCCTAGTGAGGTCTCACGAGAGCAGAGTGGCAGGATCACCTCCCTTGACCTGCTGGTCACACTGCTAGAAAGAAAGTATATGAAAGGAGGAGCAAAGGCAATTTACACACAATCCATATGTGAGACGAAAGCCTCATGTGATCCTAAAATAATATTTTTGGTGCTTTCCTAAGGTCTGTTTCTCAAACACAGTTTTCTGTTCATTTGGGGTACTTGTAAATCGCTCAAATTAGCAAGTACACACGTAACAACACTTGGGCATCTATTTGAACATAATCAACTCGTTTTCAACTCAGGTTGTGCAAACAGTAGCACTGCAAGCCAAGATACATTACTGTAGTAACTTACATCAGCATACAGAAATCATAACGTACAGATTTCAAATGCACCTAATCCCCTTACATTCAAAAATGCTTCCTTGCCATTCTCCTCATCAATAGTCTCTTCTACCACTGTTTTTTACCTAAAAAAAACCAAACATTTTGTCTTCTCTTTTTTGTTGCATGACCACTAGACAAAACATTTTCCATGAGGTAAAGCTTTGGGTTTTTCTAAAGTGCTCAGAAATGCAAAGCAATATATAACTGCTTAATAACAAGAATATTGATGAGGAAAATGCACTTTCATAAGTAGTTGGAAACGGGCAGATTAATATTCCTGCTCTCACAGAAGCAAAAAATTTGCTGCGTTAGTCACATTGCATATACATGCACACTGCAACTGAAGTTAGGAAAAAAAAGATGCCTTGTTAAAAAGCATATTCTGTCACCCTGGATCTCTATTTCATAATAAATAAACTGAATATTGGCTTACTCTTAATATTTAAAATAATAAATGAGTGCATAATGAATAATCATAAGCCAGCATTTTGCATTTTTTAACCATGTATGCGTTTCATCTAATATGGTAATGCTTGGCATGAAAATAACGATAAAAACAAAAGCCAAACCAAAATGCCGTGACTGTGAAACCAAGGAAAAAAGAAAAAGAACTTCACAAATACAAAAACAATTCACATGAAGTTAATGGCCAAAATTCCCAGTGGAATGGAACTGTTGGAGCTGCTTTTCAAAGAAAAGTCACAAGAGATCTTATAGCACAAATATTAAGCAGCTACATAAAGACATCTTTCAGTTCCCACTGTAAACAGAAGGGAGGGAACTAAGGATAGTTGCTCAATACACTGTGTTTTCCTTGACTTACTGTGAAGGGCTATAGCACCTTGACAATTAGGATCACTAGGATGAAGCAGCACCCTAAACCTGATCCATTTCTCCCCTTTGAACACATTAGACACATGACTAAAAGAGAATGCAAAAAAGGGCTGAGACTGCTGTGTAGAAACTGGTGGTGAGACACAGAAGCAGACAGAGCATGAGCTACATGACTTGCAAGAAGCAGAGCCAAGAAGTAATTACCTGATGCTCTCCAGAAAAGCACTGAGAGAAATTACAATGCCATAATGTATACTAAGTACAGTTGATGTGTCCCAGAAAAATTACTTTAGAGAAAGCACACAGTTTTAAACTTCTCCTGGGAATCACTGGGGACAAGTCATGCCTTGTTCCCAGTAAAACAAGGTAATTTTGCTGCCGTTGTTGAACAGAAAAAGAGATTTGAACAACAAGGCTACAGAGAATAACAACTGTCCATGCACACATATTCAGCTATTGCACTCCAGCACCACAGAGTGAATGATATAAGCAGTTCTTTAAAGTCTGAGAATGTTTTATAGGCTTGGCAGCATGCAAAGACTTTTGGGAATTGGACAAGATACTTATGACTATGGAGTTGGAAATCACATTGCTAAAGAGAAGCAGTTGGCTGGCAGCCAGCGTTTGGGTTGGCCACTGTCATCTATAACCTTTGTGACACCCAGAAATGGCCACTTTCAGTAGAAAAGCTGCATCTAGAAATGAAAAGATGAATCTACCTAAGTCAGTCTGAGCAATGAAGAGGGACGGGTATTGGGGGCAACTGCTATTATCACCCTCATCCACATGCAGCCTTTCATAAATAAATACTTAGAAAAGATAAATATCTTCTGAGTCACCCAATTCCTACTTTGGCTTCTCCAATTCCTCTTTCAGGTTGGTATTATTCTGTCCTGACCTCATAAGCTATTCAAACAGTGTTTTGTGCCTTATTGGTGGGATTTTTTGGGGGGAGGGTGTCCCAGAAATGCATCTGCATTTTTGTTAGCTTATTTTCCTTAGAGTTTTAACCCATAAGTCTTGCAGTTAAGAGAACTGAGCCCCGGCTGATGAAAAAGAAATAAAGGTAAAGAAAACAAAAACTTTCATTTCTATCTTTTTAATCTGAATTTCTACAGTTTTGATCCACTGGTGCAGACACCATCTTAACAAAATCTACAAAACTTACTCTGTTATCACGCAGCTTGGATTTTCAGCAATTTAGAAGAGAGAAAGAAAAATACTTTCCAAGAATGATCATCTGAGGGGAAGAAAATAAATCTAAATCTTGTTGGGAAGTCTTAGAAGGAAAAAGCAAACAGCTTGTCACTTGCAAGTAGGGGAAAGTTTTGAAGACCTTCAAGGCAGAAGTCCAGCAGCCATCTCTAAGCCATTTGGTTTTGTGTCTCTCCAGGGGGCATGTGCCCAGTCAAAGTCACCTTTGTCTTGGTTAAGGAGTATCCAATGACATTTACAGGCCTGTTCAAGTAGTTTCCCTTCAGAAAGGTTACAAAATACAGTCTCTTCCTTTGGATCTCTGCATTCAATTCTATGCTGTGTTTTTGCAAAAGGTGGGGGGGGGGGGGGGGAAGGATTAGGTTCCAAGCCCTTTTACCTCTGAATATAGTGCAGAAAAAGACCTGCCTTTATAAATACAACATGGATGCTGACTGGCTAGTGCCTGTTCACCCTAATGAGCTTAAAATCTTATTTGGAGTGGACATCTGTCAAGACAGAAGTGAGGCGTGCAAGTCCTCTTAATCCATTAGCTCTAAATCCAGCAGAGCTTTCACACTCCCTTTTTTGAACTGAAGAAGAAAACCTGACCTGGACTATAGAATGGAACAGTGCACAACCTCAAGAACAGATCTTAGGCAGTGAGCATGTGAGATTTCAAGGCAAAGAGCAATGAAAACTGACAACAAAACTGGGATCATGATGGAAAACTCTTGAGAAACTGGCCTGTCTGCAGTTCGGAATGAAACAGTGAGTTTGACTTTTTCTTTTGTTTTCCCTTGTTCATCTGATTTTAAGTAAAAAAAATACAGCCAAAGACAGAGGCAGGATGGGCTGCACACCTTCTCACAGTGAGATTGCTAATACTATTGCAAGAAGTGGTCTTAGGGCTTTGACTACACCCAAAAGTATTTTGCATATTGATCCTAGAGATAAAGGAATCTCTCTGCTGGTTAAAGGTTCATCTTGCTACAATATTGACGAATTCCCCCACTGTGAGACCCAGGGGAAAGATTACCTAAAGGAAAAGGAGGCTAAACTACCAGAACAGGACAAAAATGATGATTTGCAGTTATCTTCTGAGGCTCATCCAGATCCCCAGATTTCTGAGGAAGACAAGAAAATTCAGAGGACATCCACAGATGCTGAGACTGTGATGTCTGCGCTGATTGAATCTCAAAAGCACATCACTGAGGCCATACAGATCAGAAAGCAAAGCTCCTGTGAATCAGAAGCATCAGCTTTCATTTGGGATGACAAGAATGAAAGCAATGTGAAGCAAATCCCAAAGAAAGGAAAGAAGCAAAAAAATCATAAACTGGCAAAGCAAGGTCGACCTAGTAAAGTTAAAGAGAAGTCCTTTTCAGCCCTGTGTGAGACAGAGAAAAAGGTAGATTTCCCTGAACTGCTTGTTAAGGCTCACCAGAGTGCATATGCCTACTTAAATCCCAACCTCTCCAAGTATGAAACTATACTTCACATGGCCAGCCAGGCTACCCAGACTCAGCTCTTCCTACAGCAGATGGTAAGCTTTCTCCTTCTTCACTACGATGAAATCAACCAGCTCCTGGAAGAAATCACCAATGATGGGGAAAATCTTCTCAGAGATGTAGGTGGGAATTTGGCCTGGCCAGCAGAAAAAGGTGATCTGAAGGAGCACCCTGATCTTCTGCAACAACTACTGCAGTACACAGTCAATAAAATGCAGTTACTGAGTGGGACACTGGCCTCCCTCACCTCCGATGCCCTACAGGAGACGTGCAACTACTTGCAGTCTGCTGCAAACAATTTAGAAGGAAAACTGAAAGCAAAGCAAAGCTTTGATGAGCGACTGCTGCGGACAGTAAGGCTGCTTGAAGCCTCAACAGTGGGATCTTCTCAGTCCCACGGTGATGACAGGACTCTCTATTCTGAGGACAGTGGCATTGGTGTGGACAGTGAATCTCTCAAAGAGTTCAGTGCTCTCAGCCAGCATGGAGGACAAGGAAGCTGTGATCCCTATACACACGGGAATCTGTCCCAAAAACACACCAGAACAGTGGAGCACACACATAATAGTACAGTGTCACCAGGCACAGCCACATCCCGCGGCTGTGTACTTGAAAGGCATTTTAAAGATACAGTTTATTCATCCACGCAGAGTAAGGAAGCAACATCTTGTCAGGGTGGAGTACCAGGAGGCATTTCTACCATGCCCCAATGTGCAAACTTGAGCAAAAGCCATTCCTACAACTCCTTCCAGTCTGACTCGACTCAGGACGGTGATAATTTCAAAATCTGCGACTCAACAGATTTTCCTTCTGAAGATGAGGATGAAGAGAGCACCCTGGGGGAGGATGACAACACAAGTTTATCAGAAATGGGGAAGGATGCTTTGCCAAGGAGGCCCCTGTCTTCACCTGCAGTCACTGATAACACACAAAGGCAATCCATCAAAAGGACAGAGAATGTGGAGACAGAGGAGATTATTCTGAAGATGAAAGATGCCATCAGTGAAAAAATCAAGTTTGTCCCAGCTAAATCTGGGTGTAAAGAATGGATAGAGGATGACAGTGGAAGAGCAGTCCGAACAACAAGGCCCAGTACAGCAACGGGCAGCCAAAAAACCGTCAGGAAACAACGACGTTCCAGGTCAGAAGAATCCCTCAGAAGCCAGGCAGAGGACCCAACCCTCTTAGAGCTTCAGAGAACTCAGAAAGAGCTCAGCAAAAGGCTGGAAATGTTTTATGGAAAGGATACAGATAACAACCCAGAGCCCTGGAAATCAAGAACAGCACTTTGTTTGCAGGAGGAGCAAAACACACCTAGGTCCTCTAGCAAACTGAAGGCGTGCCTCTCAAAAAACTTCAGCATCCTGCCTAACCAGGATAAAGTCCCTTTGTTCATGGTTGACCAAAATCCTGGCCATCAGCTGGATGAAGAAAAAGGCAGGAAGCCTTTGAGAGCTGCTGTGCCTACCCAAGAGGTATCAGGAGGCAATGAAAAGGAGCCTCCTGGAGCACAAATGCTCAGTGGCAGCAGCTGTGCCCCCCGCCAGTCTGTCAAAAAGCTTATTGAAACATTCAGTCCTGTTGACACTCTTGTGAAAGATGCACATTTAAGATCTTTAGGACCAATAAAGTGCATCAGAAAATTTGGACTTCCAGTCATCCCACCCACCCTTCCCTTTCAGAGAGGCCTGGCACCTTTAAATCTTAAGCATCGTATTTCACCAGTAGAAGACACAGACCCTTCAAACACTAGTGGAGTTTCTTCTAGCTTTCCAAATGCCTTTCCTCCTGCACCAGCTGCAGAATTAAGCAAGAAGGACACAAAGGAAGAGACTGATGTAGACACTGAGAACTTGCCACCACCACCACCGGAAATGTTAATGGACACTTATTCTGACTTATCTGAGCCTGAAGAAACTGCAAGAATAGAAGGAAACTTTTCAGAAGATGCCAAAAAGCTCACCAAAACAGAATTTCATGCTACTAAGAGATCACAAGTTTCCCCAAAAATGAAAGCCTCCCTTCAGTCCATTGACTTACTGCCAAATAAAAGCCTCAGTGGCCCCAGTGTGACTTCTAATAAGGGTCCAAGGAATACCAGAGCAGGGGACGAGAAAGTGCAGAAGTACTCCCTGGAGCTGAACCCTACCAACATGCACATCCCTAGCCAGGAGGAGATACTGGCAACCCAGAGAAAAGAAGCTGCAGATCTGTACAGGCAAACCCATAAAATTATTCCTCTTCAAAATCCCAGTGGGGTTTCAAAGCCACACAGAAACAGCCCCGAGAGCAAAGAGCCCAATTCACCTGCAACTTCAGTGCAATACCAGAAGCACGGTTCTCCAGACTCACTCAGGAGAAACGAAAAAGGCTCAGCGTTTGCCAGGAGGGTCTCCCCAACAAGAACTCCCTCTCCACCAACTGAGAAACGGGTGTTCAGCCCCCCGGCACACCACAGGCACAGTCTGCAACCTTCTAGCAACCCACAGCTGAGCTCACCCCCCATGCAGAGGAAACCCAGTCCCCCCTCTAGCCCCAGGGTGCCCAGCCCACCCCTACAGAAGAAGCTACCCTCTCCACCACCCCAGAGAAAACCCCTCAGCCCTCCCGTTGGGCACAAGCAGAGCTCCCCAACGCCGCACCGGCCGCTGGGCTCCCCAGCCTACCGCCGAGATGTGAGCCCTCCTTCATTCCACACCACTCCTTCCCCACCAACCTCTCCATCCCGCCCCTACAAGGGACTGAGAGCTGGGCTGGATGCTGGGGATGAGCACCAGCTCTCCTCCTCCAAGAGGAGCAGCAATGTCCGTTCAATATTTTGCCCAGCCACATCTTCCTTATTCGAAGCCAGACCTCCACCAGTACCCATGAAACCCGCTGCAGAGGTGACCAGCCAGCCTGAAGCTTTGCCACTTTCCCAAAAGAGCAATCTGCTTTTCCACCAGCCTGCAGACCGGGCCAGAAAGCTGTCCCTGAGCGCTGCCAATCCTCAGCCATTCGTAAGGAGAAGTTACTCTGACCGTCGACCAGGGGTGCAGTTTCGTCTTCCAGCTCCTGTAACAGCTAGCAGTGAACCCGCACTTAACCAAGCAAGGTAAGAAACTCTCCACTTTAGGCCAAGAAAGCAGAAATACAGCACTGTGTTGGCTGTCTAAACTCCCTATGGGAATTTAATGTTGTTAAAGAGATTGCCCAGAAAAGTGCCCTGTTTATATGCAGGTCACACAAACATCATGTGCAGAACACATGAACACCATGTGCAGATGTTTGGGCAACGGTAACATTGTAGTTGGACTAGATGATTGTTGTAGATCCCTTCCAACTCAAATACTTTATTCTGTTGTCTTGCCCCCAATTTCAGAATACTACCAGTCTGAACCCCTTCCCTTGATTCAGCCATTCCATAGCTTGCTCAAACCTTAAACTTACACACCTGCTGTAACAGGCACCCCAGGAAAAATTCACTATCAGTTTCAGGACACAGAACCCCCCCCCCCCTTATTTACATGGAGGCTAAAGATACCCACACTCAGTTCTTAAAAGCTCTGAAGCAACCCTCAGATTACAAACATCTTTAAACAACCATGAGAAGGTAAGCTTGGACCAAGAGGAAGGGCATCTTTCCTAACATCAGCCTCTAATCCAGTAAATTCTTCAGCCAAAAACATAGAATCATAGAATAGTTAGGGTTGGAAAGGACCTTAATATCACCAGTTCCAAACCCCCTGCCATGGGCAGGGACACCTCACACTAAACCATGCCTCCCAAGGCTCTGTCCAATCTGGCCTTGAACACCGCCAGGGATGGAGCAATCTGTATCAGGGTGTTTCAAATCAGCTGGCAAGAATGACAAACAGACAGTGTGCAGGCAAGGATCTCTATGGATGTAACCATAATAATAATTCCATGTTTGCAACCACTGCTTGCAGAATCTTAAAAGATCCGGGCTTAGCTTTAAATTTTATCTACCACTTAAAAAAAATAAGCACAAAACCAGCCAGGAAACAGAAATGGGTATTTGGGAACACTCAGAGATCAGGGTAACAGCCTGGCAGGACAAAGCATTGTTATTCTAGTTTCTCAGCATCTCAGGATGTTGAAATCCATTAAGCTCTAAGCTACACCAGAGGATTAAGACCCTTCTCAGGTAACCCTTCCTCATGTGAGGACTATTTTTGCTTTTCCCACAGAATAGCTGAAATCACATGAATCATCCCATGAGTAGGGATTGCAAGACCAACCCTAACAGGAGATAAAATTGCACTTGTAAGTGCACAGGCTCTCAGTGCATTGCAAGTACAGAGACAGTCATGGAAACTGAAATTGGGTGCCCAGGCATTCCCTCCCCAAGGACCAAAGTTTTCCACACTGAACATGCTGAACAAAACATGCAAAAAGACACTAGGAAATGCATTCCTAGTTCTAATATTGCATTATATTCTGACATTTGAAGATTTCCTAAGACTCCTGTACATTGTTGCTGGGTTTTCTATTGTTGTTATGTACTGTGTAAAGTCAGCATTGCCTACTCCACTGCCTGCTAGCAGAAATAAATCTTTTCAAATGAGGCTTTATGTCAAACCTTGCAAGACAAAAGTCCTGTCAGTTTTACAGATCAATTTTAAAACCAGCCAATTACAAATTGTTAGCTAATTTATGCTTCCTTACCTTCCTATTGTAGTCTGCCAGAGCATACATATCTAAATATTATTTGTAGTGGGGTTTTAATATAAAAAAACTCACTGTAAATAAAATCATCCCTTTCATGAAAAAAATTATATATCCTGGTGTCATGATATACAGCATTCTGGAAGAACAAAATGTATCCAGAGCTAAATTAGTTTACCATTTACACCAACAGACATCAAGAGTAGTCCTACTTTGTTAGTCCAAATTTATATCAGCATAAGCCCATTGATTACCATATGCACTGATTTAAGATGCAATATACTACTACTGTGTATTTTCTTACACTTAAGCTTCCTGGAGTAAACTTTTACAGACCTTGCATTGACTGATCTAATAGAAGTATCACTGCAAATGTGCCAACAGGCAGAGAAGGACCATTTTAAGAATCAACATGTGGCATCACTGCTGGTTGTTTCACCAGAGCAGTTGGCACAGCTGTGAGCACCACATCCCCATGCACAGATGCTGAGCCTTACTCTTACAGGGCTCCTAACAGACAAACTACTGCACTCTGCTCCATCTCTCTCCTTCAAGTTCACCAAGCAGCCAGGGCTTCCTCTGCTTTGCAGCTCATTCAGCTGACAGAGGGAGACTTCAAAACGTCTTCTCAAACCAGATGTTGCATATCTAAACCTCATTCTGGCCATGTTTGTATCTGGTCTCACATCCACAAGCTATTCCCACCCAGCTATCAGTCTCCTTTTCTTCATTCCTTCCCTTGCTCTACCTCTCATTTCCATATATAACAATGTGCTGGTTTTTTTTCATCAGGGGTGTGTATTAGCAGCTTCAAGCCCTAGTTACAGGGGAGAGGGGAGACAGAACAGATCTGCCATATTGTCACTCTTTTATGGCCAGTTTCTCCCATGATCCCAAATTCTGAGATATATCCCTCCACTTTCTCCATACCCAATTAAAACATCTGTTTGCAGAGAAGCAGATTGATAAGATAATCAGGGAGGAGCTTGTACAAGCAACGTGTTTTTCATCAGGCAGCTGAGTCCCCTCTCCCACCTACCCCATTTTAGCAGAAATTCTAAATTACTTTTGGTGAATATGGCTTCCATCTCATTTTCCTAGCTAGCACTGCCAGGCATTAAATGTCAGTATTGTGCACAGATCTGTGTGTCTCCTGCACACTCACTGCTCCACTAGAAGGCAAAAAAGCACTTCTTTCGAAAGCACGTGTTCTGCCTGTCCCATGCTCTAAGGAATATCAGGACTTAAAACATTGTTAGCCCTAACTATGGCTGGAGCTAGAGCTTTTGTTATTAGCCTTAAGGTACCTGGGTGAGAGTTTTGGTTTCAGTGCTCAAGTCAGTACAACTGGTTCCCATTTGGACAGCCCGAGGATGGACAAACTTTGCTGGTTTCTAAGCTTGGTCATTAAACAGCAATCAATGGTTCTTGCCATCCTATTGAGGCATAACATATACAATTGCTCTGCTTGTAGAAATCCTGTTAACCTGTAACAGGATTTCTACATTTGCAGTTAATTGAAATAATATTTCATTGAGACTGCTAATCTTCCAAGAGGTAGAGCAGAGACCAAATATTAAATGTTATTTCCTTTAAGAAACTGTTCAAGGAGGGCTTGAGAATGGATTGGGTTGACTGGATCAGGCCCAAAGTAAGTAGCCCAAGTGAAAACTTCTGTTGCTGGGGGATATTTGAATCTAAATTAGTTTCATGACCAGCTATGTATCATAAATTTCCTCATTCAGCAGCTCAAATCACTTGAGTCCTAGCAGCCAGAATAGCGACATAACAGCTTGTTTGTAGTTGAAAGCTAATTCAGTTTAGCAGCTTATGTACTTAAAATACAGTAATGATTCCCAGATAATTCTGGTATATTTCCCCACACTGATCTTAAACCATTTTAATTAGTTACAGCAACACAGGGCACATTTCAGCAGAGAGGCCCATGGCATAAGCTATTCATGACTAGCTCCACTGCTATAATCAATCTTGATTCATAAAGTCCCTGTGCCCCTAGAGATTGCCAATGTGACCTCAGAAACATCATTTACACTTTGTGCCTCAGTTGTCCTGTCTCCAGAAAGGCAGATTTATACCATCAAAATACCCATCCCACAGTCATGCTGCCATACTCAGAAATCATGGTAACCATGCTAAGCAGATATGTAAAAGAGGAAAGACCTTTCCTCCAGCAGAGTCTGAACCAAGACTTTTCACTAAAATGTGTCACTATGTGCAAGTGAACCCAGATTCACACCCAGCAAACAGACAAAACATTTGCTTCCCAAGAGAGGTTTAGGAGGGAACAGTACAGTGCATTTGGCATCACAAGAAAAAAGTCTGGATGGTGCATATAAAGAGCATGTATACAGGAGGAAACAGCAAGTGACACGGGATCATGCAGCACTTGTGCTTCACGGGTTAATGTGGCCTAATCAGTGCTGTTTTTAAAAAGCCATGATTCATTAGACTCTTAACTTAAGCATCTTTCCTTCTGCAGCTTGGAGGAGAGCCCTAGGAAAGCAAGTGACTCTTGGAACAGCCTCTGCAGTCCTGAAATCAGAGAGTCCAACAGATCTGCTTCTCACCCCGAGCTGTTCATCGTGGGCCAGGGGCTGCAGAGGGACTGACAGCAGAAGCACCCATGAAGGCAGAGACATGAGCAAGGCCAGAGCCCCCACAGGGAAGAAACAGCCTTACGCAAGCCGCCAAAATGTGGCTTTTTTCCTCTCAAGCTAAAAATGTAATGGCATTGGAGCTAAAAACCCAAACTGGCTGAAGAAATCTAATGAAATACCAGAGGGCCAGCTGCTTCTCCTTTGATTGCATTTCATGGTTTAACTCAAAGATCTGCACTGAGCCAAAGAAACACTTTGCAGCTGGGTGAGTCAGAGGCAAATTGGTTTGATAAAGACAGCACCTGTAGCCAAGTCCTTTGTTTCACTGTTTAGGTAAAGTAGTTCAAGAATTATCAGAAATAATCATTATTTGCCATGCTACCTATTCAGGAGGCATCACAATTTTAGTCATATAAAAAATGTTGTGCTGTTGTGACATTTCTGGGGGGGAGGTATCATCCTGAACCAATTGAGTTTTACTGCAAAAACATCAATGACATCAGCAAAGCCACATCTTTAAGTATTTATCAATGTGTAGTGAGAGAGTAAGGTCAAACACAAGTCAAAACAAAGTAATCCCCTTTAAAGGAATAAAATTAGGGATCTTACTCCCTCAAAAAGGTTTTGATCTTCTAAATCACCTTTGATTATCACATAATCTCATCACCTCTAGTTCCCAGAGTACAAGGCTTAGATTAGAGTAGTTTTGTAATGACCCAATCAAACAACATTATAAATCCTGAGCCACCTAAGGACATGTATCTTTTTTCCTTATAAGAGAATACTACCATAGAGAATCCTGTTGTCCCCAAAGCATGTTCATATTCTGATTTATGCAGTTTGAGGGATATATTGCAATTCCACAGAAGAGCCCAGACAGGTTCTTGTTAATAAAAACCACACATTATTTAAAGTCCATTAATCCTAGGGTTTTACAGCACCCACTGGAATACAGGCTCAAAATTTACTGGATCTTGCTCACCTAACTGATTTATCATCATAATTAAAATTTAGTTAATCTAATTTTGCATGTTTTCATATGCAACTTTAGTGCAGAACAAGATCCAGAAAATAAAGAGCATTTGTAGTCTTATTTTGGTAGGAATAGTTTCAATTTCTCCTACAGTTTTCATGATGGTGTATCTGGGGCACTTCACCTTCACACATGATTTTTAACCCTTCCTGCCCACCTTCATGATGGGGGAACTGAGGTTCATCTTGCATTGTATAAGGGACCCCTTTGGATGCTGAACTACTGAGTTTTAATCTAGTGCCTTAATGACAACCATCCTTCAATAAGCTCAGTGCCATTTTAAACCACAGACACAAGGAAACCTTAATTGCTATGTCTAAGGTGGGTGTTTGAATATGAAGAAGTAACTCGCAGTTAATAGATGCATTGGATTGTCAGGGGTTTGTGAGCTTGAGGTGGGAAAGCAGCCAGCCATACCCATAGTGAACAGCAAGGAGATGTCAACAGATCCACCTTGTAATCACACAGGCAGATGTACCATCCCCTCTCAAGCTGGAAAATCTCCAGGGAGATACTGCAAGGTTTACCAGCAGGGCCAGTCTTTCTCATCATCAGAATTGTAGTTCTCTCCCTACCGCATGAAAATACAAGTACATTCTTGCAGCATTTCAGATTGTCTGTTCTACTGGCAGTAACCACCAGAACAGAAACAAACCAGAACAAAACAGCAATAAACTGGCACTTTGCATGCCTAAATGTAGCTTTGAAGATGAAAACATAACAGAGTGGGAGGACAGCTTCTGCTCAGCTACTACAATCATTTTCTTTCCTCAGATTTCATGCTGAAATTTCCCAGCACTATGATGGGTAATGAAGTATTTATTTATATCCACAGGCACAGAATTCTGTGGTGCAAGGCTTCCAGCAATCAAGCTGGAAGCCTTCTCACATTTGTGCTAGCTGGATATGGAGTAAGACAAAGTATCTTTCCCCAAAACCCAGGCTCCCTTCAGGATGTGGTACATGAGCTGGCATCCTAACACAGCATCTCTACCACTGAGGCCATGGTTGTCAGGAGGCTTATTGCAAAAACAACCCTGCCTAAACACTGAAGCTGATGAAGGATTCTGATGCTGCAGCAAACTTAGCACTGTACTCAAGAAACAGAACTTCTGTGGGAGCAATCTACAAGTTTGTAACACGAACTCATGACTACATATAGCAAACTGATTCTCTTCGGTACAGTTAATGTACAGGACTCCTGCAAATAAGGTATTTACCTTCAATTTGTATTGCAAGCATGAAATTAAGAGTAACTGTAGCATACAGGAAATGATGGTTTGGCTCATCACCTTTTGGAAAAAAAATATATATTTTTTTTTACATATATCAGTTTTTTTGGACAACACTTCCATTTTTCACGAATACAACATTTATGGAATACAATTGTTTTATAAGACCATATTCAGCTTTAAGATTTATTTTTTACCTGATGTAAATAAATCAGAGTTTTTATATGCATGGTATGAGTTTGATCTTCCTTACAATTCTGTGTGCAACCATCTTAAAACCTTAGCCCAGTGTTAGCGTTCTTGATTCCTTCCTTAGTACCCTAATTAGTGCCACTTGCTATAAAAAATTTGCTACCTTTTTCCCACCCCAGTACAAGCTTCTCTTGTTCTGTGTTTTACTGGTAGATCAGTTAATCTAGGTTGCATTTCCATTAAGCAAATAATGGCTTTTAGGCTGTAAGATCCCACCTGGACACTGACAGACCAGAACACAGGTCAGCTGAGTTTCCCCCCCTCCCCTGCCCTAAGCTTGACCTACCTGGCAATTTTGTACTCAGTTCAGTAGAGCTTCTATGTACAACCACAGCTACCTCAAGCACAGGGCAGGGGGTTTGTCCTATGCATTAAAATCAGAGCACACTCACTGCAGTGGAGTCTCATTGCAGAGGGGTGGAGCACAGAATGAAGCAGTATCCCCTTGTCAGCCAGGGCTTCATAGCCTGTTATCTTAAGTTTTCCACCTCAGATTTCCTTTTCCTCCTAAATTTGCACACAACTGAGCCAAGATGCAAGCTATATCTATATTTAGTTTAGTAAGCCAAGCACTGACAGTACTCCAAAGCATCAGGAGGACCATGCATCATCCACGCTTGCCTGAAGACTGATAAATGGTTCTCATAGGAAAGAGCAATAACTTTAAGGACCTCCAAACAGCGGGTGTACAGGTAGGTACAAAGTTTCACTGCCTTTACTATGATCTTTTAAAAAGACCTGAGGCAATATGGGGATGCAGAGGCAGGTAAATACGTAATTTATTTCCCTACTTTTTTCTTCAAAATTAGGGAAATTTTGGAAAATCCAAAAGGACACTTTCACTGTCGCCATGGCAACCGTGTAACCTCACGGAACTGTTCTTCCCTGCAGTGTGCTGCTCTGCCTGGGCTTTATTAAGCCAGTTAGATCCATAGCTCAGCAAACACACATGGCCACATGAAGTGGGTTTTTTCCCTTCAGAAAGCCTAATGAACGCACCACATTTCTTCACTTGCATCAGAAACTGGCAACTACACATACTCTGCTGCCAAAACAGCAGAGTTTTACAGTTTGCACAAGTCTGCAAAGTGTTTTTCCCTGAAGCAGAGGAGCAACAATTGTTTTTCCCCAAGGTGGAGGAATAATGGCAGTGGCAAACGGAAATGCAAGTTTAAAAGATTCAGATTATTACGAAATGAAACTGTTAAATAATCCCTTGAAAGGCAGCAATGCCAATGATCATGCAGTCCACCGAGAGTCAGAGCTGAACCCAGAAGTGCTTGTTCCAGCTATGCAGGAATTCATTATGCTGGTAAGCTCTGGCTCACAGCAATAAATTACCACATAGCTCTGGGCTGACTGGCACCCAGTCTGCAGTATAAATAGATTTGAGAATCCCTTCTCACCTGTCATTGGCCTCACAGTCAACTCATCCTTCTGCAAACAAGTTACAAACAACACTACTTGCCTGCTGTCCTGGATAAATAGACATATACATGCCTTTTCTAAAGCAGTGGAACTTTTCTCATGTTTCCCCTTCTTATACATAAAATCACAATTGGAGACAGCTACGAGCCAGAATGGACTCAGACTGCCAAAGAGCGAAGCTTTGGAATTTAGGCCAAGTTTTCCTTGTTCATATCTATGTTAAGCACAGAATACATCTAGTAAGACAACTTTAATCTATACAGGACCTTTGGGTATGTTGCCCCTCAAACATGTGCGTAAATAACACCATTGTAATGACAAATAATCAGTATCAGCAGCAAACAACACGAAGTAATGGCAAAAGGCAAAAAAGAGGGCTTGTGAGGAAAAAATATGGAGGAACATATTGAAGCCTCATTGGAGTTGCACTGAGGAATACTTTAGGCCAGCACTTACTGGGACAAGAGCAATCTCTACGTTTAGAAAAAGCAGCTTTCTACAGCTGTGCAACAGGAGCTACTGTCAGGCGTGGGCAGGACCAGAAGAGGTGCATGCTGTTACCATTACCTTTAAATGGAATATCACTGCAGGATCTCTGGAGAGTGAAAAAACAGCAGCTGCTGGGCTGTGCAAGGGGGTCCCACGGCTGCAGAGGTCCTGCTCCTACCAGAGCCATTGGGCTGGCTTAGCTGGAGGGCAGCTGTTCCCTGGGGAAGCAGAAGCATATTTGGTTTGTACTGGGTGATACCAACAAAAACCTGCCAGAATAATACAGCAAGTAAAACAACAGAGATCCTAATACTGGCACAATTTTATCCCTAGGAAAGTCATCTTACTAGTATGACCAATTTCCCTTCTTGATACAACACAGAGGGGCTGTTTGTTGCCAAAGTTACTTAAAGGTTCAGGTCAACCCTAGCTGACTAGAGATGTTTTCACCTCTGCCTGTATCAAAGGCAGTATGAAAGTATCAGGATTCAGTGTCAGGTGTCAGAGATTTGGTAGCAATGCAACCACTAATATTCCCATCATCACTACTTATTATGGATGAAAACAGCCACCTCCATGCAGCCCCTCTCCCTCTGCAGCAGAGAGAGACTTCAGCACCTGGCTCCAAACCCACCTCTAAACTGGGCAAGAGCAAATTCTGACAGAATCTCTTTATTATGCTCCATGACCCAGCTGCATCTCTCCCACAACAGCTCCCTTCAAGTGCATTCTTTACTTCTCTGCTCCACCTCTCAGCAGCAACACCATGAGGCAGCATCAATACTATTTACAACAGGAGCCTTCAGCCTCCCCACTGTACTTTGGCTCCGTTCTTCCTTCCTTACCCTGCCTCCCTGGCCACTGTCCCAATTTGCCATTAATTTTTCAACCCCACCCCCAAAGTCTTCTTGGCACTGCCAAGCTCGTGCATTTACATCCCTGCAGGGGTTTGAGGCTGTACCTCCAAGAAGATTTGGGGTCCAGCTAACACATTTGCACAGCACAAGCAAACCCTGAAGAGCAGACAAGCCATGCCAGCAAGGCACATGCTTTGTCTCTTGGTGGGAAGAAATGCCCATTTGAGGAGATGATTAATTTTGCAGACTGGATTCAGAGTACCCGGCACCAGTGTCTCTGCTCATGTAACTCCAGAGCTCTGATGACCCTTAGCACAGGAAGGTGGCACAAGACCACTCTCTCCCTAATCGTCAGGGAAACATAAGCTTTCTTCACTCCTGTGTGGCAGAACCCATGTTACATTTTATCCCCCACCTTCTCTTGATGAAAACTTCAGCAAGCAAGAGGAACCATCTCTGACAGCCAGGGTCTGTTCTGGGGCTCTGGCAGGGTGTAGGCTAAGAGTAAGCCAATGTACAAAATGGCCATACATTTCTTTTGCTGTACTAACCTCTGTGGGTTAGCAGCTGCACATTAAATGCAATAATCCAATTCATTACACTGGCCCTGCAAGGGCAGCTTGCAACCTCGTCTCTGGTGAGATTTCTGTCATCAAGCTATAACAAAAAAAAGTTAGGAAAATTAAATATTCTTACCAATACTGGAGAAAGGTCCAACACTGCTCTGCTTGCTGTCTGTATCCCCCAAACCCCTCAGTAGCTTCTTAACAACTTTTGAGACATTCACCTGTGCAAACCTGTGGCAAGAGAGCTCACCTGAGCTGATTTAACCATTACCCTGAATTAACCCTCTGGTTGCCACTGCAGTCATACCTTCAGCTAAACTTGCTCTCCCTGTGGTTGGAGAGGCCCTCTCATGAGGAAAGTGTTTCAGCTCAAGAGTTAAAAAACCTCGAACACTGAGACACAAACTAGTACTGGTAGGCAACGCTTTATTCACCTATTATTTTCTAAGTATGTCTATAAATACATTATTTCCCAAAGTTACCAACTGAATTTACACAACAGGGGTTTTATTTTGTTGGTACCTGTGCAAGCTTCTCAGCAAACATGAGCTCAGGATATAAAAATTTTGAAAAGTACTTTATTATTATTATTATTATTATTGAATTTTTTAAAAGCCAAAATCAAAACTTGCCATGGAAATCTGTAACTATAAACTCAGCAAGGTAAATTGCACCAGCAGCTACTAGAGACTTGTAAAGAGGTCACCCTGTAGCTTGGCACATATGGCATACACTGGTACATACAGTGCACTGCATATCCTCTGATAACCCCACCGCACCTCTGGGCCAGCAGGTCCTGCTCTCTCATTCTCTGCTTCCTTAAGCCAAGCCATCTAATCCTACAGCCTCAATGCTTTCAAAGCCCTTCTCTTACTTTCTAAGTAAACATATATAAAAATATACATACGCCTACTACTTTGTAGGTAAGTATATAAATATATTGTTTTCCTTTCCACAGTTACAAACTGCATTTAGAGATGGGTTTGGTTTGGGGGTTTTCTGGTATCTGTGCAGGCTTCTCAGTGAACTTGAGCTCACAATATAAAAATTTAACTTGTTTTTTAAAAGCCAGCATCAAAACATGGTTCATAAATCTGTACCTATATACTGGGTAAGGCAAATCCTGTCCTTCGGTCACGTAGAATGACACAAATGCCACTGCCACGTCCACCTTTGCCTCCACCGCTCCCACTCAGCACCTCTCCATCACCTTCCTGGTGCACACGAAGCCTTCACCTGGTGTTCAGGTCCAAAATGTCCCAGAGGGTTTTCACCACATGCTGGGGCTGCATGGCAACATACTCCTGCAGCCTGGAGCCCAGCACTTGGTGGAGGCTGTTTGCAAACCTGGTGACCACAGCCCAGACACTGCCATATTGAACATGCAGGGCTCTGCTTCCCAGGAGGAACCAGAGCACAGACAGGGAGTGGCGCTTGATGGTTTGGGGTTTCTGTGGATAAAGATGCCACAAGCACTGCCAGGCGAGAGAGACAGGCTTCTTAACAACCTTAATGCAAACAAGAATCTACCTTTATCTTTGGTGCTTGGAAGCCTATTCTGGCTCGTATCAGCAAGCACACAGAGCCTGATAAACCAGAAACAGGCAACAGTGGCTGAGCATCCACTGAACATAACAACCAACCTCTGAGGATCTCTATTTGTCCAAATAAGAGGCATTGACTCCATGACAGACTTAGCAAAGTGAATCATGCACATTTTGTAAATCATTTCACTATCCATTTCTGCATTGCTAAGACATAAATGTCAAATCACTGTTTATTTCTATTAAGAAGCTGTCTAAACCAGCTGCTGGAGCTTTGAAATGCAGCATAGAGAAGTCACTGAAAGATTCCTAATAAAAAGGATGATTACTTTTTTGTGACCTTTGATGGGAAATGCCCAAGGTCTAATCAGGCAGTTCCCTTTGCTCAGCAGCACGTAAGAAATGGCAACATTAAACTACCCCAGCCCACAAAACATGTGTGCTGCTTGACAGTGGAAACAGCAGTGATTAAGTCAGGTCTTTGGCAGAATGGTCTCATTTGAGCTTTTTTTCTCCTCATACTTGGCGGCTTCTAATGAACAGCTGTTTGAAACTTCAGGATGTCTTAGATAATTCCCCAGGCTCCATTGCTATGGCATTTGAGCATCTCTCAATTTTCATGGCATTTACCTTCACAATGTTCCTTGAAACAGGGCAACAGAGATAGAAAAATCTTACACTGGCTGAAACATAACCAAAACCCAAGTGTTCCCTCTCATTCTCTCTGAGAATGTTGCTCTTAGCTCATTTCCTGAGCTGAACTATACTAAATACAAACAAAAAACTACTACAATAGGCTCCTTGCATCACATATTTTGCTGAGATCAAAAGCTGAAATGGTCTGGAGATGGAGTTCTTATTTTTTGTTCAGTGGAAATGTTATGCATTAACTATTTCCTATTCTGTAATGGAAGGACCTTCATTTTCTCTGTCCTGTTAATCTAGCATCAGTCATCAACATTTAAAGAGCTCCTGAAAGTACCTAAGACCAATTCTGGTAAGCAGGAAAAGGGTTATGGTACCTATTGTAAAATTGGAGTTCATTTGAGTTTAAATGCTATCAAACACAGCACTCACCACAGAACTTCCAAAGAGCTGTCAATTGCCACTAAAATCCCTGAGATAACATCTGCTCTCCCTCATAGCCCCAATTTATGTTCAAATGCTTTATATGAAAAAGATATAAAAATAACTGTAAAACTAAATTCCGTGTTTATGGGGATTTTCTTATTGAAATTTCTTTAAAGGCTCTTTTACATTTGCTGTGGCTAAAAGTACTTGTCTGAGATTCATAATGAAGCAGAAAAATTTATTAAAGCTTGGATTAAAAGATGCTGGTGGAATTAGCAGTGGATTTACCCTAATTAAAGCAGGGCTACGAATAGTCTCCTGTAGTATATATTATTTTTTTCCAATCCTTGGCTATCATTGACATTGTAAGCTACTATTATAAATAAATTATCAGCTGCATTTGCAGCATGTTGGACATCAGCCTTCCAGTATCTGAAGGGGGCCTATAGGGGTGCTGGGGATGGACTCTTCAATTAGGGACTGTAGTGACAGGACAAGGGGTAATGGGTTAAAACTTAAACAGGGGAAGTTTAGATTGGATATAAGGAGGAAATTCTTTCCTGTTAGGGTAGTGAGGCACTGGAATGGGTTGACCAGGGAGGTTGTGAATGCTCCATCCCTGGCAGTGTTCAAGGCCAGGTTGGACGAGGCCTTGGGTGATATGGTTTAGTGAGAGGTGTCCCTGCCCATGGCAGGGGGGTTGGAACTTGATGATCTTAAGGTCCTTTCCAACCCTAACTATTCTATGATTCTACGATTCTATCACTGATATAAAAAACAAACTGTTTGCATATCCTGCAATGTTCAGAGTCCAATGTCATTACTACAACACAGGCAGGGAGCCTCAGTGGCCCCACTTCAACCCCACAGCCCCCAAATCCTGCCCTGCACAAAAACCTTGCCTATAATATGGGTGTTGAGTTTTCACCTACACAATCACCCCCAGGCCCTGTAGGGTTCTGGCCCAACGGGAAAACAAGAATCCTGTGATGATAAAACAATCAGGTTCTCACAATACCAATTGCCACGCATTTTGTCTAAAGGATAACCCTTTGCTTCAGAAAAGGCCCCTCTTAGATACCTCCAGGATCTTTACTGTGCTGCCCTTCGAAGAGCGGAGCCAGCCAGGGTATTTTTAGCCCGTCTCTTTGCTGTAGATGGGTCCTGAAATGCCCCAGTGAGAGCTCAGTGCTGGAGCTCGAGCGCCATCTTCGTCTCACACACTGCATGCCGCTGCAGCAGCCCCGCAGAGCCCTGCCAAGTACACCCGGTAAGTGTATTTTGCAGGAGGGTCAAGCTCAGGACTTTCTGGTCTTTATCAGTTACTGCCCTGTCTATTCAGAGGCATTCCCTCTTAAATATTCCCTCTGAAGACTTCCAGACTTAGAAGTGGAGATTAGCTGAAGTGGGCAATACCTGAGGGAGATTCCGTGACATCCAGCAGAGCGTGGTCGCTGAGGTAACACACTCACTGGGCAAGTGTCTGCAGCAGCAATGTGTTAGCTGAAAGAGACACGTTAATCTATGCTCAGTCTTCTGAGGTTATCTGGAAAAAAAGGGGAAGGGGCTGGGGGAGAAAGGGAAGAGGGAACTTTATTTTGTGAAATCAATTTCTGCCAGACTTTTTCTTCTTTCCTTCAAGCTTTCTTGCAAGGATTTTAAATTCCTCTCATTTCACATGTGTAAATCCAAAAGTGACTGCGGTACAAGGAGCTGTGTTAAACATTTCACACCAGAGCCCTCAAAATTAAAATCACATGTAAGCAGTGAAAATAGTTTGTGTCCCAGAGCTTTGCAGAAGTGGACTTCGCCCTCCCATAAGGAAAAGGGTGTGAAGCCTCAAAAGTCCTCATATTTATTCACACTTTAAGGATAAGCTGCTGCTAAATCTTCACATTATCTGTTGGCAATGATGGACAGACCCCGTGTTACTCTTATAAAAGACAGAATTACTGCTCACTGCCAACACCATCCGCTTCTCAGGGCTCTTACCAGTCTCTTTGGTTGGTTTGTCAGAAAGACTGGAACACAAACTGATTTCCTGATGACCTGACTGTCACGTGTATTTTAGTTTTTCCTGTGTTGCCTGTTGTTGATCTGGGTCTTGTTTTAACTTACAAACTGGTGCCTGGATTGGTCTGCAAGCCTCCAGTCTTACTGCTTTGATAAACCAAGCAAAGCTTCTCTGGGAGGCAGAATGTGCGTGGGATGCGCTACAATACTCTCACAGTGTCACCAGGAGTGGCATCAGTAAAGCAGGCAACCTACTCCTGTGTGAACCACTACAGAGCCAAATCCCAAACTGGTTTTAAGGAGTACTATGCTAACAAGTGCTCCTTTTTGCATGAGATACAAAAAGGAAGTCCCTAATGATCCTCTTGCAAGCATGCAATAAAGAACTGATCCTGCTATCCTCATTAAGCTTCTGCTTTGGTAACTATGCTATTCTCCTTCACCTTTTTCAACAGAC